ATGGTAACAACACACACACAAAACACCCAAAACAGAGACACTTAACTTAAAAAAAGAGGAAACAGGCCCTAGGTGGTGTGGTTCAATGGTTAGAGTGTTGGCCTGTGCACCAAAGGGTCATTGGTTCGATTCCTGGTCAAGAGCATGTGCCTGGGTTGCAGGTTCCATTCCCGGCCCCTGTTGGGACACGTGTGGGAGGCAAACAATCAATGTGTTTCTCTCTTTCTCTCCCCCTTCCTCACTTCCACTCTCTCTAAAAATCAATGGAAAAAATATCCTTTGGTGAAGATTAACAACAACAACAAAACAGGAAACAGAGCGAAAAAGTATGGAATACTACCAAACAAAAACAACAGACAGAAACACAAAGAAAAAGACCCAATGGAGACACAGAGCTACCAGAAAACAAAAGATAAAATGGCTACAGGAAATCCTCATACATTAACAGTTATCCTAAATGTAAATGGACTGAGTTCACCAATAAAAAGGCACAGAATAGCAGACTGGATCAAAAAACAAAACCTAACCAACCCTGGCTGGGTGGCTCAATTGGCTCAAAAATTTGCAAGTCCTATTCCCAGTCAAGGCACATAGCAAGACTCAAAGTGAAAGGATGGGAAATGATTCTCCAAGCAAAAGGCATTCCCAGAAAAGCAGGAATAGTCATACCTACATCTGACAAAATAGATTTCAAGATAACAAGGGTAACGAACGACAAAGATGGATGTTTCATACTAATAAAGGGTAGTGATCACAGCAACCTCGGTTCAGATCTGAGTCACGGCACCAAGAAAGAAGAAAAAAATAATAATAAAGGACACACTAACATCAAGAAGACATAACACTTCTCAATATATATGCACCCAATCAGGGAGCACCAAAATATATAAAGCAACTACAAACAGAACTAAAGGGAGAAAAAAAGTTAAAGACAATACCTGGAAACCTTTTCTGATTTGTTTAGAATAAAGCCCAGATATTCTATTTTTTAAAAGCTTCCCAGGATTGAGAACTGCCTAAAACAGCAGTTCTCAAAACATGGTCCTTCCTGGGAACTTGTTAAACATTCACAGGCCTACTGAACTAGCACCCCTGGGGGTGGGGCCCAGCAACTCTGTTTTACCACACCTTCCAAGTGATTCTGATGCCCACTAAAATTTGAAGCCACTGACCCAGACTATGAGCTTCTACATTCTGTATATCCAGCTCCTATAGTTCCATAAAACCTAGCAAATTGCTTTGTGCATTCTCATACCTCAATAAATGCTTGCTCAATTTAGTCTGACAGTGAATGATAAGGCAGAAATGAGAACTGGTGCACTTGGAGATGAGTACTCTAAAGGTCCCAGCTAAAGCATCACTCTGACTTTCTAAAGTAAATAAAAAATTTATTTGAAAAGCAATAAAGAAAGTCAGATTACTCAGGTTAGTAAAAGCACTGCTGTCCCAAAAGGGATCTTATCAGCTTACAGTTTGTTAAGTCACTATCCATTAAAAACATGCAATAACTTATGTAAGCTGGTGGACTAGTATTTAAAAATTAATTCTGTGGTTCTGGGAAGCAATGCACAGCCATTAAAAAGCCATGCTGTGTGTATCATGAAAGATCTGCTTAGAAAACACAGCATTCATGTGGTGGAGATGGGCCCAGATTTGATGAGGATGGCCAGGTTTCAGAAGAACACCCTCTAGGTAGCATCTGGAAAGACAAGACTCCTATAAAGAGAATGAGCTGATCAATTTACCTACTGAATAGAAAATGAAACAAATAAATCCATTTTTATGCAACTGTTTCCTATCTTGAGAAGTTAAACTGTTGAAGTTACTCTAGGATGGAGGATACAGTCCCAGCCTCACCACATGCCTTTTCTAATTGGCATCCTGAAAGATTTTACAGAAAAGGGTGTTGCTTTGGTATTGTTGACTTAAAGGTTATCTAGTCAGAGAGAGGCAGAGGAGGATTCATCTTCAAAATTCATCTATTTATTGAAAGCCCATGGAGTGCCTTGGCAATTAACAATTCCTACCACCTCTAGCTGTTCCCTATGTGAGAAGGCTCCGAACTCATCTTACAAATTGCTCTTTTGAAGATCAAAGGGAAGCTGAATGTGTCTGTGTGTGCGCTCCATGAGACTGTAATTTAATGGAATTTTTAGAGAAGGCTTGCTGGCAGTGTTTGGATGACAGCCCCAGGGCAGAGGATTCAGGGGAGCTTGGCCACTCTTCCCTTTGGAGCGTCTTCCCTGTCTTTAATTGGCACCTCATTAGAAATTAATGAAAATGACATCCTCTGTTCTTCCTGCTCTAGGCATCGAATGCTACAAAAAGGCCCATCACAATTCATAACACATTCAATTTATATAGCAATGGCTCTTAAGCATTATTTATGAGATGTGAATTTCTTGTCAGCAGTTAATAACCTATACAGAGTTGAAGGGGAATGGAAAAAAAGATTGTGAATATATATAAAAACATTTTCTGCAGTGGAGAAGTGTGCTGCTTGAGTTCAAACTACCTTCCTGAGTCGTCACTTTCAGTAGTAAATTACTGCCCCCCTACCCCCATAAAACCTTTCAGGGCAGTTAAATGTCTCTCTAACACTCCATGCATCCTCAAGGAAATAACTATACAACTCACCCTTTCCTGGAGAGATCCAAGCAGACAGGCAGGAGGAACACAACAGCTATTTGTCAAAGACAGTCCCAGAGGTGTATGTTCCCACTGCTGTCCTTCAGCTTTTGAAATGTGGCAGTGGACTCAGTCATTTTTCTGGGCACAGAAGTGTAATGCTCTCAGTGGGCCAAATGGAATTCCTGGCTCTCTCTGGGAAGGCTACATCCGGAGGGACTGCAGAAAGCTCAGAACTTTCTTCCCCACCAGAAAAATCAAATCTCTCCATAAGCAGGTCCTCAGAATTGGGCATAAGCCAAGGGACTAGGTATTATATCCTTTAAAAAGAATGCATGTCTTTTGCAAACCGAATAGGCACTCAGAAATCAGCCTCCTATCCAAAGAGGTGAAGAGCACAACAGAGTAATCCACGCTTACCAGAGACAATTAAGTTGGCTTCACTTAGAAGCATGTGATGTATTTCTAGATTTTTTTTTTTTTAGCGGTGCAGAAGACCTTAGGAAAATAGGTGGTTTGCATCCAAGCTGAAGGGTAAGCTGGGAGACTTGGTTATAACACCTCTGGATTTCTCAGCGCTAACCTGGGAACTCTTACTGCTGGCCTGACAAGGAGAGGAGGTATTATGACAGAGGCAAGATGGAACATGCAAGGACCAACTGCTTGATCCACTAAAGCAAATCCTTTTTAGTACCCAGGATTCAGTTACTTTCCAGAAGGAAAAATGAACATTAAGGTACAGGAAAATCTCATGATTCTAATTTAGGAACAACCAAAGGTCTGTGTTATAGAAGCAACAGGCAAAAATGGTCAAGTAGATTTCGCAACTCTGGTAATGGACTGAACTGCTGAAACCCCGCCTCCCCCCTAGTTCACATGAAGACCAAAGCAAAAAGGGCATGACAAAAGATCGAACTCTGCAATGTGGGCAAAGGTGGTTAGCCATCAGGCCCCAGAGTTTCCTTAGCTACCATGGTATTCCCTCCTTACCTCATTAAGAATTTAAAATTACCTGGGAGGGCTGACCCAGGAGCAGTCTATCAGTAAAATTCTGGGCTCACCTGGGCCATGCCACATGCATGAACACAACTGAAGTGTGAAAGCTCTGCTGACAGCCTCTGCCCCCAACTCTCACCCAACCCTCCTCTTTATACTTTCAAACAAGCATTTAGGAGAAAACTAAATGCCAATCTAGAAATAAAAACTTGTCCATTGACACCTAGACTCCCCATGCTGCCATCAAATGTCCCATTTCTGCAGTTGAACATATGCTTCTGATCTTGTTACTCCTCCCCACCCCACCACACACACACAAAAGTGTGCAACAGACAGACAGAAACAGGAATTCCAAATTAGTTTCCATGAGAAGCTAGTACTCCTTTGTTTCCTTCTCATTTCCAACGGAGCAGATGATTGAGGGACAAGAGCAGCAACAGCTACGTCTTTAGAAGATAAAGGACTTGGAGTCCCTGTAACTTTCTAGCTGCTGAGAGAACCATCTAGTCCTGGTTGCCAGCGTCAGTACTTGTAGAATATCTATGGCTATCCCAGGGGTGAAGGGAAGCTTCTTAAGCTCATTCCTAAGGACAAGGATATAGAATTCTCAGAGGCTAGACCTAGGCCTCAAAGTTGGCCTGGTGACAGCTCTGTCCCATAGAACAGTTTTGTAATATTAAGCTTTAAATCAGGAAATAAGAACAGGAACAGAAAAACTCTAAGTTGGCCTAAATGCTGCAGCTATACAATTATGTGTGGTTGAAGGGAGAGGAGTGATTGGTCTAAGTTTTGTTCTATGTGGGTACACATAAAGTTTTTAAAAATACATCTCTGTGCAGCAATTCTAAGAGTTGGTATTACACTGGATAGATAATACAGAAGAAGAGGCTACCTTAAAGTTATTCAAGGGGTTAAGTGACAATGAATTACAGTTCAAAGAAAATAATTTTCTAATCAAACTAATTTAAAAAGGATATGGGAGAAGAAATCTTGCATTTATTATACATAGTAAAAGGCTCATTCAGAATTAATTTACTATCTGAATTTTATAGTACATATCCCAGAATTGGGCTGGTTTGGTTAACTTCTAAATAAGTCATCAATGAGAAGGAACCAGAGTAATCAATGGAAGACGTTAAAGCAGTAAGCAATGACAATGCAACTCTAAAGACATGTGACAAAATAATGGGGAGTGTTTTTGCTTCTTTGTATGTGCTTAGAACTAAAAATCCTCTACTCCTGATTTCTCAAACTCTAAACCTACTGCTCTCAGGGAGGTTTCCAGAAGAAGAACAAAGGAGTTCAGCCTCTTAGAATAATTTCCAAAGCTATGCCAGAGACACCGTCTCCATCATGTCCCTGGGGGAGATGCTTACCACAGCGGCACGATCCCAATTCCTGCTGCACCAGCTCCAGTTTGGTTTGGCACTGGAAGCACCGACGTCGACTCTTCTGTTTAGATCGGCTGGTTTCCTCGGATCGTTCAGTGTTCTCCAGTAGTCGTGGCCGTTTCACTGGCGAAGCCTCATTCTCAGACTGTGAATCTGACCAAAACAACACATTTAGGGGTCAGGGTTAGTGCTTGGCCTGGCAAGCACAGCTGATTAATGTGCGCCAGGCATTCTTCTGACCAGGCTACTGCCCTTTTCCAGGAATTGGACCTGTGTAAGCAACAGCCAGCTCTGACTGGCCTGGTTTCTACTCCACAAAGTGTGACAAGCATGAACCTTCAGGGCTGACTTCTAATGAGCTAGATCTGAACCAAGAGAGGAGAGTGGGGGTGGCTCCACAAAAATCTGTTGTTTTTAATAATGGTTGTCTCTATGAGACCATTCAAACTGGTAATTCTTTAGAGAAGGGACTATGTCTAGTACTTCTTTGTATTGCCATGTTTAGCATAACTCCATACTTAGAGCCAGTGTTTGATGGGGTATCTATAATCTTTTCTAGCAAAAATACTCATGTTTCTACTCCTAAACAGACAAGAATCAGTTTCTAATATTGGGAATTATTTCAACTGTATTTAGAGTTAAGGAGTGTATCCCTGCCTATTTATCAAAGAGCTGCCCCAGGGCCTCCACTGTGGAGTGGTACAGAAGCAACATGTGGTACCACAACACACCCTAGGGTTGATGCCAAATTGACAGGTGGAGGGAGGTGTAATGAACTTGTATTTACCATGACTTTAAAAAGTAACTAAAATGCAATAAAGTTCATGTTATAGACAGGCTGTAAATAACTCTTGCCTTCCAAAAAAGGGCAGCACTTGGGGGCTCTGTGCTCCTGGAAGTGCCCCCACGGCATACTGAGGATGCACCCCTTGCCAAGGCTCTGAAGTGGTTTGTGCTAAAGCACCTCTGGAAGGGAATCTCCTGGATAATCTTCCTTAAAACAGATCCAGATCCTACCACTTTTCACCCCTCCACCACCTCCAGCACTGGTCCAATTCATCACCATCTCGCCCAGCCTAGCGAAACAGCTGCTAAACTGGTCTCCCTGCTCACCTCCTTACAGTATATTCTCCACACAACAGCCAAGCGATCCAGTTCAAAATCAAGTTAGAATTACTTCACTTCCTTGCCTACAACCCCTTCCTTCTCAGCTCCCCTTCTCAGAATAAAAGTTCAGATTCTTACCTGAGGCCCTCAAAAGTCCCTGCCTGAGGTGCCCTCCTCTCATCTCTCTCACCTCACTCCTGCTGCTCTCTCCCTCTGCTCTCTCCACACTGGCCTCCTTATTGTCTCTTACCTCAGAGCCTTTGCACTTTCTGCTCCCTTTGTCTGGAACACTCTTCACCCAGATCTATATGGGATCTAACCTCTTTTAAGCCACATTTTCTTTTTAAATGTATTTTGAAATTACAGTTGACATACAATATTATGTTTCAGGTGTAGTGATTAGACATTTATATAACTTACAAAGTGAGCACGCTGTTCAATGAAGTCTTTTTCCCTGATCACCCTATCTAGACCACTCTGTCCCCGCTTCCCTAGCATTTCCCTTGTATTCATCCATAGCACTTTTAACATTATCTCCCAGGAGAATGTAAACTCCTGGAGGGCAGGAAGTTTCACCTGCTTTGTTCACTAATGTGCCCTCCATGCCTACAACTCAATATATATTTCTTGAATGACTGAATCTTCTCCTAGGCAGTCCTGATTTTCTATTTCAAGTGGCTCTAGTGAGAAGCAGCAGACGGTTGGATGCATTTCAATGAAGGCTGTCTGCATCCCTTTCCCCAGCCTCCCTCTGTGTGAAGAAGATGCTGCACTTCATCAGAGAGCAGTCACTGGTTCCGATAGTGACGATGGTGACAGTTCACTCACAGCCCCCCAGCCCATGGCACTGTGCATTGACTTAGGGAAGTGGAAGGCACGCACTATTCTTAGCAATTGTAAACTTCATTTTTCATCCCATTTAGTTCTTCCAGTTCTACATGACATTTCCCCCAAATACAAACCAACTAAACAAGGCCTTTGATGAAAACAATTGAAAGCAAGTTCAGCCTATTTCCAAGCTCTGCTGAGAGAAGCTGTCCAAACCTAGTCAGTGTGATGACTGAGGCAGGTACAGACACACCAGGCCCCTCCCTTTCCCCTACAAGAGCAACAAGCAACAATCTAAATGTAAATCATTACAAAGCAGCCAGCCAAAAGGAACTCACCCTGCATGAGCCACACTGCTCTTTGGGGGTCCTTTTTCACAAACCAGCAATGGCGCTATTTGTATTAATAATCCTATTCAGACACCCCCCCCCCCCCCCGTTTTTGGCAACAAAAGAGAAAATTCTAGAGTAAAAGCTATAACAAAAAAATGGTATTTGTTCTGAGACAAGGTCCTAAATCTGTAACATCCTTATAAGAAATTACCCCTCAACCCCGGTGGGCGGGGTGGAGAAGAGAAGGGCCCACCTGAGAAGGGGAGGCAGTGGAATCCTTGGCTTGGCATTTATTAATATTGTTAAAATTTAAAAGGCCCTGACATGATGCCAGTACACCTCTAACATAAAAGAGGCGTGCTCAGACCACAAGCCTGTCATTCACATTGCTATCTGATAAAACCGAGTGTGTCTAGAAATGCAGAACTCACAAAGCCAATTTTCACATGAATCTGTCCCAAACTGTCAAATTCGCTGTCTACCTGCATAGCACCATCTCCATTTCTAAAGCAAACCTTTGCTACAAGACGACAATTTTCTTTCAGTGGCAATGCTACCATAGGTATTTCTTAAATAAGCCAGGGAATGATATATGAAGAACATATTTTAAAATGTATGATTCCTAAGACTGGGAGACAGAATTCATATTTACATAATCATTATTGGTCATCACCAAACCACCCACTTGATAGGGCCCCCCAACATTAGGAGGCATGTCCAAGCCTAATCTCTTTTCTTCTAATGCTCCACCTTGTCTGGCCAATGAGCATTCAATAACAAAACTAAGGACTAAGTCTGCTTGATCTCATGCTGAAATATTCTTTTATCCACTTGACATTATAGATAAAGACTACTGAGTTATTTGTTCTGGTAGGCAGAAGGCCCGGGACATTCCTGAAATAATGGGTCCTAAGGGAGGTTTCTGATGCTGCCAAGAGCGTCTGGCTGCACTGTCAGTGCTAGTCAGCCCTCGGAGAGTCAATGTCCCAGCAGCGCACAAGTCTCAGACCAAACGCATCAGCATACAGAAAATCTGAGCCACGGGAAGCAGTCCTCCCATGATTCTAAACCAAGAGGCACACATTGTTTACCAGAATGTTATTTTTTAGAATCAAGGAGCTGTCCCTAAGAGATCCATAACTTTTATGCTCTGGAATATGTCCAATTAACCTTCTTCACTCAGTCCAGGGTCTATTAAATGGAAAGGAATCCTGTGCCCTCTAATGCCCTTACCACAAAGAGGGAGGGAGAATAAACTCCCTAAACGGTTTACCATCACCATCCTCCACTCGATGCCATCCAGGGAGGTGACTGTGTTATGCATCACTTCTTGGTGAAGCAAACAATTCCTTGGCATTTTCTCACAAGCCAACCTGCTGTTTCAATTAGAAGTTAATGAAATAAAGAGCGGTCTACAGGATCATCATCATGTCTGCATAAGAAATTTACATCTCCTCTGCTAATTATTTAATGAAACTATGTGCCATGGGGTGAGTTGCCTAAATAAGAGAAACAGATGTCCAGGGCAAGGATTCTAATTACATAATAATGAACTAAATAATTCAACTATTCAATTAAATTTTATGTCCATTAAAAAAGATCCAAACATGGTCACACAAAGGAATACTCATCTACAGTCCATATTCGAATAAATCAAACTTTGATTCTTTACTTTTTGCTCACAAACATAATTTGTTACCCTGCAGCACTTTTAATTTCCTCAACAACGACAGAAAACACCTAACCATCTACTTGCTTAATCTGAACTTGGGCAGTAAGGGTTAAATATGGAGAGAAAAGTGAACAGAAATAACTCTTACACGCAGCTTTAACTGTCAGAAAAAACGAGTCCTCGCAAGGAGCATGCTCATTAGCAGCAGGCGGAGCTGTAGTGGCAAGCTAGAAACTGTCCCCACCCCAGGAATTACGAGTGATTTCTAATTAAGATCTTTCATAAAGGGCCAGCAAAGCACATTTCCCCCCAGTATGCTTTTTCTTGAGAACGTAATCTAGTCTGTATATACCCACACAAGAGCTGCCACACTCCCATGCCAGGTTCATAGTTCTTGGTACTTACTAGACCCTTTCTTCCTCTGCCTAAATTTAACAGAATGAGAATAATATCATATCAGGTCTTCTAGACAAAGGAAAGTCTGATCAAGAATTATAATGTGATTACCCTAGAAAGAAAAATCTTTGAAAAAGTATTTTACCTATCAGATCCCTAGATTTGAAGGTAGCTAGTGCTTAATTTGTGACAGAGAAACAAGCACAGTGATTTTATTTAAAACACATTAATCTTCTGAAGAAAGCAATTCTTCTAATTGTACTTTACTACCAAATCGCTGAAAATAGTGGTAAGACTTTTAATTCAGAAACAGTTTAACTGGAAAGCTTGACTGGAGACAACAAACAGAGCTATTTCTTTTAAAATTCTGTTTTGTCTCTGACAGATATTCACATTTGTCCCTTACTGTCACTTTTCTTGTCTTTATTACTCATGTTCTCTCCCAGAAATTTCCAAATAAATTGTGTCAGGCCTGTCAGAGTTGAATCCCCATCTCTCTTAATCTCCCGTCACTGTGCAGCTGGCAGCCCGCACACCCGGGGCTGCTAACCGACTGTGGCCTTCTGACAACTCAGGTGAGCTCTCAGCCCTTGGCACAGCCAATCCTCAGAGATTAGGAGAGTGGGAGAAGCACCATGGCAACAAAGAGAAGGGAGCCTTCTATTCACTTCACCCACACCTTCCCTCACTTCTAAGAAAGAAAGATGAATCTGTTTAATCTCAGGCTCTATGACAGCTTTTGAGGTACTCAATCAGTTTTTTTAGAACCTATCACAGTCTCCTGACAGATTGACATTTATGATCCCAACAGCCTGTGC